CGGCCCTACGACTTCTGTGAAAATAAGGGGAGAGGGCTACTGGTGCCTCCTCCGCCGCCCCTTTTGCGTGGCTCCGTTTTTTTCTCGTTTGTTTGTTTTGAATACATTTTATTATTCCCTTTCCTCTGAATATTTGCTTCCATATCAATCATTCTCTTTTGTTTTTAATGGAATAATTTTCTCTTACGCCTTATTTCCTTTCTCTCCTTCATCTTTATTCGATTATTCTGTCATTTTATAATTTTATCATCAATTTCCTCTACAAATTCTTCCGCTCGTCCCCGCGCTCGTCATGATTCTATTATCTTGCTTCTATCACCGCCTTTCTAAAAGTGTATCCTTTATTTTCGGGCCACTGTCACATAATCTCTGCATCGCCATCGCCTTTCTCATTTTCTCTCATTTTTCTTAAACTCTACCCTTCTTATCTTCGATCAGTCATAATAATATTCACATTCTACTCTTTCTTTCTTTGTTCCTATTCTCTTTCTTTCTACATGTATTTAACTTTTGCTCCTTCCTCCCATCAGGGAGATGGCCCTGCTGAGGCTGCTCCCATCCCTCATTTTTCCTCGATAGATATATATATATATATATATATATATATATATATATATATATATATATATATATATATATTATTTTAATCCAAATATCATCAGTCTCTCAAAATAGACCATTCTCAGTAAAATTAGTTTTAAATAAAAGGTGTAAAAATATGAAATCGTTTGGGAGACGAGCTTTACTTTTCTTTCATCGTGCATGTTCAAAACATAGAATTCAATTTGTCACTTTGTAGACACCATAGCTGATATGCGATGTTTTTCATTTTCTAGTTGATAAAATTTGATTTTTGTTGTTGAAATTATGGACGGGGAACGTGTGATGCGTGGCAATATTCTCATCGTCAGACATCTACCCAGCTCACTAGATGCTTCAGAAAAAGAAAATCTTTTGAAGCATTTCGGTGCAGTGAGTGTGAAATGTATGGCGAATTATGGAAGAATGGTAAGTTGTTAGCTGAGTCCCACATGTGCATTATTTTGTTATGTTTGTGGGCTGCAAAGCCAAACAAGGCGCCGCTTTTCCGCTGACGGCGCACAGGCCACAGTGGGCCAGGGAGGAACCAAAGTGTGCCAAAACTAATTTCTGGGGATTTTTTTTCTATAAATCCATAGGAAATGTTTGGATGTCCAGAGGTTTCTGCTTAAATGGTATTAGAGTCTACCAACATTTTCTCTGATATTCTAAGCTAAGTTGATACCAGATTTGGCTGCCCGATTGTGCCCGCTATGTTAGAGCCGTTTTCCTTGCAACATTGCCCCGAAAAATGTGTTTATTTTGGTCCGCGGTGTCAGAACAAGTGTCACGCGCGTGCGAAGTGCCATGATTTATGACCGCGAATCCTTCATGATTCAGCCGCGGACTAAAAACAAACATATTTTTCGGGACAATGTGGCAAGGGGAATCGGCTCTAACGTGACAACGGGCAAGATCGGGCAACTTAAAGCTTAGACATCAGACAAAATGGTGGTATTAAAATAAGCGGAACTCTGCGGAAATCTAAACGTTTCCTCTGGATTTATAAAAAACATTTTTCAGTGAATTAACCTTTAATATATCATGAAGATTGTGTTTCTATACATTTTAACCAATTCATGCAACAAATTGAACTATCAGGAATATGTGAGAGCAATTTCATATCAATAACTTAAGAACTTCATGTTAAATTGAAAGATTTATAAAGTAAGTCACTTTTGCACTCTGGGATGCGAAATGCAAATGTAAAGAAGTGATAAAACAAATTATACAGAAATTTTAAAAGCTGAATATAAACATTAAATCACAAATTATTAAACTAGATAACATATAAATAAGAGAGATAAGAATGTTACACACTGTTTTCCATAGTACATTCATAGTCTTTTCTTAGGATACCGCATACCTTTGGGGCCTATGTGCATTATTATTCCCTCTCTAATTACTTCTTCTAATTTATATTTTCAATATTAAATCAATTATATAACAAGTATTTATGAGACTCTAGAATAAAAACTGGCTGAGAAAAGGTATTTTTCCTAAAATTCCTCGTCACAATAAACAAAAAAGAACGTATTGATAAACTATCACATGACGGTATCCTTCAACAAACTTTTGATTCGACTGTCGAAAAAAAAACACTCACCGTTTTTCTTCAATTTAAGAATCTTTACAAAAATATGCAAATCGTTTGATGATCTACATTTGATAATGACACTATTTATTATTTATTTTAGGAGAATTTATATGTATTTCTTTTTGAACAATTTTAGCCCCAAAACTTGTTTTGGGTTATTCTTGATAAATCAAATGGATCGCGACAAAGACTATGTTCTTGAGCTGCTAGTATCGCGATATATCGATATCATGTCTGTCATGGCTTTGTGAAACGGTTTATCCACTTCATGACATCTCCGTAGGTCGCCGACAAAGATATGACTGTCATGGAGTTGGTTTCATGAAACGGCCCCCTGGGCTATGTTTTCACAACTTTTTATGAAAATTAATAAATCAATTTTTGTTATTTGTTCATAGTCTACTCGACCATTTCATATTTAAAGGTATCAATCTTTGTAAAAATAACAGTAAATAATTCTTCTGATGATTCTTAGTCAATAACCACCCCACTGCAAAATGCTGATTACATTAAGAGGATTTCATTTTGGGCGGCCTGCTAATGGGCCACCCTTCCTATAAATAATGTCCTAACCTAAATTTTTCATCATATCGAATTGCATAAATGCGTTTCCCTTGTTTTTTTGATAAATTTTGTCTGTTTCCATTCAAACTTCCACAGTGTGAGTATGCTTCTCTGATTTTCTGCTTTTCTTTAGAGTAGTTATCTCTCAATGTTGAATTTTACTTTAATCAGCTTAAAAAATGACATGCCTTGTGGACCTTCTTGAAATGATCTTCAGCAATTCTCTGCTATTTTCTTTTTCTTTTCAGAAACACACTGCATTTGCCAATTTTGAGAATCACAATGCTGCATCACAGGTAGGCTATGTATGAATGGAATTTTCATTGAGCATGGGTTTTTGTGTCAAGATATTGTCATAAGACAAGAAGAGAAGAGTATGGGCTGTTAACATTTATTACACAGGATACAAGTCTTTCTTGTTCCATGAAATAAGGTTCAGTTCAAAGAGGATGAAAATTTAATAATTTTCATAAGATTATTAAGGAGAAGGTTCATTGAAGTTTGAAAAGTAGGTAAATTATACCTCTACAGACTGCTGAGAACCTTAAGAATATGAGTAACGTATATTTTTAGCCCTCACTAGTGTAATGAATAAATTTAATGCAATTTTGATACCCTTTCCAGAATCCACTTACAAACTTGAAATGACGGCGATAAAACACATGCGATAGTGTGACGTCGCGGTATGAACTACCCTTCATCACACATTCAGGATAATGTTGGATAAATTATTGCTTTGTGACGATTTAGGCCAAATAAAAAAAAACATGTTTAGCGTCCTGCTTTTTTGAAAAATAGGAAGGAGGAGGCCCTTTTTTTTTTTTTTTTTTTTTCCTTCAAAATGGCCGCTCAAAATGGCTGCTCGGTACATTTTCCCTGACACTCAGGCTATTTTTCAAGATGGCCTATAACATTTTTTTAATTTTTTAAAATCAGAAATAGATCCATTTTAGCAGTGTTTTTCTTCTTTTTTCTTAAAAAAAAAATTCAAAAAAAAAATAGGAGGCGGCCCCCAAAAAGGAGGCGGGCGGGGACGCTAAACATGTATATTTTTTTAATGGCCTTACATTCACCTAAAATTTAATTAGATTGTAATAATACAGTTGGGGGAATTAAGGAATCGATCAACTCAGTTTTCCCCATTTTTTATCATTAATAATGGTCTGTTTTCACTCAAACCTTCAGATTATCTTTAATTGTAAATCGAGCATTGAAGTCACTGCCTTACGCACCATTTTCTCTCATCTGCACGATGTTACCAAGTCCCTTTAACCCCATGATAGTTTTTTAAATAGCTTTAAATAAAGACATACTAAAGCTTTTGTTTATCTTGCACTCATTGAGTTATTTCTTTGTTTTTATACGCAGGCTTTGGGTCGTCTGCATCAGATGAATGTATTGGGACATACCTTGACTGTGCAGTTTGCGAAAACAAGGAGACAGATTGCCATAGGAACTCCAAGTATTTCTGACAAGTAAGTACAATAAGAAAGATGTTTATCAGCTATTTTGTGGATTAAACCAGTTGTCAGCTGAGAGTGTACTCAACTTCCCTATGTGAAATGTTGTCAGCTTTCTTCAGAGTGTGTTCGTAATTGCTCTACCATTAGGTCTTGAAATAAAATCAATAAAACACTTGAAAGATTGCAGAAAGGAATACCGGTGTTACTTGTTTAAAACTTAAACATATATAATTATGGGTGCAGTAAGGAATGAACTTAAAGAAAATCTTTTAGTTGCTAGAAGAGTTTCGCCTGGCTTGTCTGCAAATTTGGTCCAACATTCCCTATTCCCTGAACATGTCAGTCAATTGTACTAAATCACAGCTAAGTGTTTGACCCAGTATTATTTTTTGTCATTTATGTGCAAATATCTTGTAATGATTACTTACAGATACCAACCAAGTATCATCAGCAACGGAGAGGAGACGGAGAAAAAGGATGGGAGGTCTGAATCCATCAGCGTGGAAGACATGCAGACTAAGAGAATAATGAAGACGATTGGCATGGCTCCAGACTTTGGGTATGGATTTTTTTTCTCATTCCCACTCCAAATTTTGATTCCTCATATTTATTTATGTTATTAATTTGTTTTGTCTAAATTAAATTAATTTAATGAAGAGAAAAGGAGAGGAAGAATGGGAAGTCTAAATCATACCATATAGCAAATATTTGTTTTCAATGTGATACATGTCACTCTCTTTTTTCTGATAAAAGTATTTGGTGATTTTGGTCATTAATTATTTAGTAGTACTAGTACCCCCTGTACTTGGGAAGGAAGAAGCAAAGTTAATCTCTATTCATCATGGGACTCTACTCTTTGCAAGGAATGCATTGGGTTCATAACAGGCATGGGCCATGGCTGTCCTACCCAAAGAATCTCTATTTAATTTGTGCAAGGGACATAGTGCTTTACAAAATTCCTAGCCTGTTCCTTTGGAAAAGGAGAGGGGCATGGCTACATACACTTAAGGCATCAGGCATGTGCCTGGGCTAGATGTGAACCTATGATCTTCAGTTTGTAGATTCTCTACACCCTGAGTGTATTCTTTTCTAGTAGTGAGTGTGAATTATTGTATCTTTCTTGTTCTCAAACTTATCTCTCTTAATTTTTTTCTTTTTTTTCTGTACAAGCTGTCCCATCATATAAACCCTTGATCTTCAGTTTGTAGACTCTCTACACCCTATTGGAGAGTGTGAGTTATGTCATTTTACTTGTTCTCAAACTTATCTCTCTTTAAAAAAATAAATCTTTCTGTACAGGCTCTCCCATCCTATAAACCCAAGGCTAAAGTACCACTACCCACCACCGACTGTCAGTATTCTGAGTAACATCGTCAACGCCTTAGCCTCGGTGCCCAAGTTCTACGTTCAAACGCTTCATCTGATGAATAAGATGAGTCTACCCGCACCGTTTGGTCCTCTCACTCCAGCTCCTCCTTTGGTAATTTGTTTTCCTTTATTTAAAAATAAGATGTTCTTTGTTTGTTTTATGGCGTATGCTCTGATGATGATTGCTCCATGATCAGTATTCTACACTACCTGAATTTGTGACTTTAACCAAACATCATATTTAACCTTAAACCTATACTAAAATCTTATATCAATGTGGACCAAACATCATGTGGTGTCCTGGTCGAGTGGATATGTCACCAGACCGTGGATCATAAGGTCTGCAGTTCGAGTCCCGCTGCGGTACTAAGTCTTTTGGCAAGACATTAATCAACATTTGCCACACTTGAACCAGACGAGGTAAATGGGTACCTGGAAGTAATTAATTCCTTGAAATGCTAGATAGCCCTAACAACAGCCATGCTAAAGCCAAGCACATGTTGCAGCAGTAGCAACAATTTAGTTTTAGCCTTCAAAAATAGAAAAGAGTTTTTTTTCTATTACTATATGGAAGAGTATCTTAGTACAAAACTAACATTAAGATTAAGATTTGTATTACAATGCCCTTATATTTGAAATATATTTCATAAATGTTTTAGAAAAAAAATATCTGTTGCTGTTGCCTGTAGGGTTTAATATCTAAAAGTGGGTGGGGGGGGGGGGGTCCTCTTGTGTTCGTAAATTAAGCCACCAGGGTTACAAAAAGGGCGCGCATTGGCTGGTTGTCCCCCCTAACCCCCCACCCCCTTCCCTCATCCCATATTGCTCTAAGAGTCTAAATTTATATTGCTTTGTTTTCTTTATAGGAAGATGATCAGATAGTTGTCCCTCCGGAGCCTGAGGATAATGCCCCTGCTGAAATGGAAGTGTCTAGCTCCAGTGAGGGATCAGAGATGGAGAGTGATGAAGAGAGTAGAGAACTGTATGTAATCATATCATATTTCAGAAGCCTCTCTTAAGCCTTGTTTAGACACTCGGCAGTATTACGGCCTCAAAAGAAAAGAAAAACCTAACAAACATACTAAGATATAACCCACCCCTTCAAAAAAAGAAATTCATTTTAGATGTTAATGAATGGTGAGTCGGGGTGGGGAAATGGCAACTGCATGCAACAAAGGCCTTCTGCAACCCACTTATTTGTGGTCATGTGCTCAAGATGCCTACAAACTGTTATCGGAACTACTTTTGTTGAATTCATATTGAGTCTGCCAAGAGCCAACAATGTGTAAACACCATCACCACCCCCTTTGGGACTTTCCTTGCCATACATGCACAGTATGTATATTTGTTGTGGTTCGATAATGTGAAGGTGACAATAACTCTGTGGTCAATTCATTACACTAATTGAATTCCTAACTTCACCCCTAAACAGACCTTGAAACCCATCTGCAACCGTAACTCTATTTTCTTTGGTGAAGTAAAGCCTGGATTAAATGTTGCAGGAGCAAATGTTTTTTTATAACTTTCTTAAAACCCTGAGCTTAGTGGATATTTCAATTTCAATTTCTCCATGTTTCCAACAAAACATTACAAATCAATTATAAGCATTTAAAACAAATTTTAACAAAAAAATACATGTTGGAAATGGAGGTTAACATCCATTCTTAATATCCCCATGTTTGCAGATCCAAGAAGCGTCATCTTCAGCTTGGTCACGCAGCTGTCAAACGACCGTCCAAAAAAAAGCCAGCGGCTCAACGGAAGCGCCCTCGCCTTCAGGACATGATTGCAACGGCTGCTGCAGCCAGGTCCATCCCCTTGACCGACACGACCCCAGCGGTCGGTGGGGTCACCCGGAAGGAGGTGTTTGACCCAACCCAGGTGCCCAAGAAACCAGAGATCAGGCTTGCAGAAAGTATCACCAGTGCTGTGGAGAGACAGATCCAACAAGGTAGGTCAAATGTCAAAGGTCAACATGACAAGATTGACCAAATGAAGAGGTTATAAAAGGACTGTGAATATCTCCACTTGGTCTCTAGATTACTTTTTATGGCCGATTTGAATATCAGGCTTTTTTGAGTTGGTAATTGACATGCTTCACTTGTTATAGTCACCCTTCTCCAGCCAATGAACTTAATCCTTGGCCATTCCTGATGAGGCCTGTTGTATATACAGGTATGTATTTGTTTTACCCTTCACACCCTAAGTCAGTAAAAAATAGGGTGTCATATTATATTTGCGTTTGCAGGGAAAGCACATGAATGTCTTCAGCGAAACACAATTTTTCTTTTCTTTTTTTGTGATTTGTAAGAAATCCCTGGAAAATCAATGTTAATTCACTCTTTTTAATTCTTTATTTCAGGACAAATAAGCACAGTTGAGGACACGCCCGCTCCTACAAACGCCCCTGTCACAGAAGAGATAGGAGGCTTTGGAACTTTCCAACCCCCCCTCAAGCCATCAGATGCTGGGGAGGAGGACCAAGAAGATGAGGAGGAGGAAGAGGAAGAGCAGGAGGAGGAGGGACCTGAATCAGCTGAATTCATCACCAGGGAGCAACTGAAGAAGAGGCTGTCCAAAGAGGGTAGGTCCATGTTGTAGAAATCAAATTCAAAGTTGGAAATATGTACATGCCCAAGAAGTTAAGGGGACCAAGACCCCCAAAATACTAATTCTTTGAATGTTTTGAGTTTCATGCTGGTGTAAGATATTCAAAATATGAGCTTTTAATATTTCTTCTCTGAGGAGAATTGGCAAATTTGAGCTCTCTTTGACTGAAGGTGAAGGTGATTGCGAGTGTGCTACTCGATGCAACCGTATGTGCACGAACACATATTGAACTAAAGTCCAACTTGCGCTCCATGTGTGGTGTTTGAATGTTGATCTCTATTTTCTTCCAACTTCTTAATCACACAACTATAGAAAGTTGGGTACTGGTAAATTTTTGTGTTTTAATTTAATAAATACTAGCTTTACTAAAAGTATACCTTTCAATATATTTCCAACAACTTATACTTAATTTATGGCATACTTTAAAGGCATCATTTAATAATGTTAAATCTGAGATGCACGGCCCTACGTATTATCGGTGACTGTAATATGGTATAATATTGAAGCCCTAAAAAAAAATTGCACTTAAAAATGATCAAGAAGTGCCTCAAAAAAGTAAAAATCTTTGAGTGACCAGTTTTACCATACTCGTTTTCCACAATAGACTGTAGTGTTACGAAAACCGTTTGGCAAACACAAAAGTTGGTTTCGATTTTCAATCATAAATATCTTGATAACCAAACAGGTAATTGGCTTGTGAAAGTCATGGCGTTCTTGACTGACCTAAAGGTTTATAATTATCATTGCAGCATGAGCCAACTCCAGGATTTTGTTTCAGAATCTGAGACAAAGTTACTGGATCCCTTTAAACAGTAGAGAAACTTTAAATGATATCGAATACTACATTTGAGAAATTTCATACTCTTGTACAACCTATACTATTCCAGTTTTATATTTAACATTTGAATTGAGAGAAAGCATCAAAAAAATCTTTATTCTGTTGAAATGTGACGACCCTTTGCGAGTACCGTTTCTTTTTCCAGAATGATGTTTTTTTGTTGGTTTGTGAGTCTCATATCTTCATATTCCACTCTAGAAATAAAGCACATATCTGTCTTCAAGAACTACACACCGGGCGAACCAACAACCAGACTGTACGTCAAGAACTTAGCCAAGCAAATAGAAGAAAAGGTACATGTAGTTCAGATATTTTCTTTAATGATAATAATAATAATATTCAGCTTGTATATAGCACGTTACAGATATATTATTACCCCGGTCATCGGATTCAGGCTTACCAGCACACAATGTATGCAAATTCTCCACTCCCTGGGGAGCATTCCAGCCAGGTGTCATTTTACAAGCGCCACTTGCTCATCTAACCAGTAACCACATTAACATTTGCATCCTACCAGGCAATCAATTTAACACCTGGGTGGAGAGTGGCAAATGTAGAATAACGTCTTGTCAAAGGACATTAGTGCTGCGGCGAGACTCGAACTCTTTACATTTCTTGTATTCTCAAGACTTAGCGAACAAAAAGTTTGTGCTCATCTTAAATGTGCACCTGTATTTTAAACTTGCATGCCTGTAACAAAATATAGATTTAGTCATCCCATTTCTTTTAGGAATTCATGGGATCTTATTTATTTATCATATTTCATTCCCGCAAAGATTAAAAAATAGTAAAATAATAAGATGGACCGATTCATAGATATGAAAATCTATGTGTATGTTACAAAGAATGCCATCTAATGTACTTTTAATGATCATTTATATGATTAGTATTGACATAAATGGATTGATCAGTGAAAGTCACTATTTTAAGAAGTTCACATTATATTGTTATCTTTTTTTCCCCTGCAGGATTTGAAGTTTATATTTGGGAGATATGTTGACTGGACTTCACCATTAGACAAAGATATGTAAGTACCAGCAACTTATGTAGCAAATTACATGTACATGCATGTGTGTGTGTTTGGAATTTGTGACAACTTATTGACACTAATCATATGCATAATCCAAAAAGTTTTATTTTGGGCCAATCATAATGTACCAGCAGAGCGTCATGACAATCAGTAGTCACTTGGGGTGGAGCATCATATGTCGATGACAGAAATTCAAATTTTGCCATTTGCCTAATTTCCATTTATTTCCAATCCAATCCATAGAGTATGTGGTACAGGGAGATTTTGTGCAGAATTGTAATAAAATCCAGTGACCTGGTTGATAATACTGTAAGGGCTTTGGTTGGTTACGTTGTAACTGATAAAGCGCTTGATAAGGAGCAGTAATTATTACTACATGTACAGTATTGCAAGATCAAGCACACAATCTGTATTTACTGTGTGAATGCTGAAACTTCTTTACAAAACAGTTATCATCATCATCATCATCATTATCATCATCATCATCATCATCATCATCATCATCATCATCATCATCATCATCATCATCATCATCATCAACATCATCATCATCACCACCACCACCACCACCACCATCACCACCACCACCACCATTATCATCATTATCATCATTATCATCATTATTGGACAGGACCATGTTGAAAAACAGTATACCTGAACATATTATCCTGTATAAAGATGTTTTAATAAATAAATAAATAAATTATTGTTATCATTATTATCATTTGTGGTCTGTTGCGTCCTCCCAGGTTCAACATACAGCTGATGAAGCAAGGTCGTATGAAAGGTCAAGCGTTTGTTGGTCTCCCCAGCGAGCTAGCCGCCCAGCGTGCTCTCCGAGACACCAACGGTCTGCTGGTCCACGATAAACCTATTGTGGTTGTATCCTTTTCAATCCAGTCTCACTCAGACTTTCGTGTTATATTGATATCATTTTATTTCATCATTCATGGTGATGAAAAATATGTCAAATTACTTTCCCATTTTCCTCCATTTACCTCCTTTCTTCAGTCTCACCTGTTTTCATGGTTTAAGCAGTTTTTCTTCTCTCTTTGGCTGTCTCTAATATTCTCTTTGTCCCTCTATATTTCTCCATCTTTCTTCCATTTAATGGCTCTTTTTCTGTTCCTCATTTCAATCCTTAGTACTCTTCCTTCTCCCAAGAGCCCTGTTTCAGAAAACCTGTTATCAGTATTCAGTAACATGTTTTCCAAATATGTAACAAATTTCCCACTGCCAATCAATTTCTATGATATCACTAGCTTATGTCAAGTATTGTTATACGTTATTGATGGTAAGTTTCGATCAAGTTGTTTAAATTTCCTTCCATCTCTCTTTTCTTCTCTATTCCTCTCTTATACTCTAATGCCCTCTATCATTTTCCCGGTCTTTGCTTTACTAATGTTGTCTTCGTCCTTGTCTTTCTCTTTGATGGTTTGATGCTTTGTTTTTACCTTACTGTTAATAAAGCATGTGTATGCTTGAAAGTAAGCAACAAGGGGACTAATGGCGGTAAGTACTCCCTAAGTGATTTGATAATGAGGATTGATGCACGTTACAAGACCACTGCTCTACCGCTGAGGCATGGCGTCTCCACATATATCTTTGTTATCCCATGTTGCATTTTCCTTGACCATTTCAATCTCTCAGAGCTTTGCCCGATCAGCCAAGCCTAAGGAGAAGGAGGATCCTAAGCAGAAGAAGAAAGAGGCTGCCAAGAAACCGCGAGAAGCAAGACGGATATGAAGTGTTTGGTAGAGACTCAAGAGATATAGAGAGAAAGCCATTTTTTAATATCAGCTAGTTGATCGGACAGAAGGAATTGTCAAGACACCCAGGCCCGTGAGACAGACATGAAATAATCTGTATGGAGAGAACAAGCAGATAGTAATGTAGAGCAGCAGGAGGGATATGAAGTGATAGGTGTAGAAAGAAATCTAAGCGGTACCGACTGATCAACAGAAGGAAAATGAAGCTGGCAAGAAATTCAGAGAAGCAAGATGGATATGAAGCACCTTGTATAGAGGAAAGCCTTGGTACAGACTATTTGGACAGGGAGATGAAAGAAGAACATCCCAAGAGAGACCAAGTGGTAGACTCAGGTTGATCAGTCATAAGAAAGAACTTGCCAAGAAACCTAGAGAAGCAAGATGGCTATGAAGCAGTCCGTACACATATAGAGGGAAACCTTGGTACAGACTCATTGACCAGAGAGAAGAAGGAACCTGCAGAGAAATCCAGAGAAGCGAGACGGATATGAAGCAGTTTCGGGGGGCTTGTGATTTATAAACTTTGATATTCTTACATCCCCAATTATCATTATCTGTGTCTTTGGTAAAAATAAAGGACAGTAAAATCAAACAATCTTAAATATATAGTTTTCAGCTTAGTTTTATTTCATGTTGACATTCATGGTGACACAATTTTTAAGCTAGGTTTGTATGCATCGATAGATGTTTCATATGTTTGTATTAGGCCAAGTTTTTTTACAAACCGACGCTAAACTTGGTGTTATTGATTGCTGTGGTATATATCGAGGGTTCAGTGACACAAAGACGTAACTCCATATTTTGCCAAAATGAGTATTCGATATCAAAATGTTCAGAAAAATGTGGGTTTTCCAGGAAACACAAAGACTTAACTCCACTCAACACCCCATTAAAGTCTATGGCTAGTGAAACATAGACTTAACTCCTTAAGACCCAAGTGCTCAGTGCAGCCCTCAAAATACACGGGGGCGATGGGCGATTCGCCCCCGTGAGCTCCATAATCGCCCCCGTCAGGTTGTCCATGGGGGCGATTGCAAAATGAAAAATCGCCCCTGTGGAATTATGAAATAAAGATTATCTTTTCTTATATAACTTTAACACAAAATTGAGTATCAATTTTCAAACCTAAACCTAATGAAATGGAACTTAGATGGCGCTTTCTCTCCCATCTCTATGAGTATTACCGATACAAACAATTGAATTCGCAGTGTAGCTAATGCGGCCGTCAGCAGTGGCTATATTGCGCCGGTAGTACTGGTGTGCATGCTGACGCCCAATATCTGCTGGAGCTGGAGACAATCGCGCAAGGACTGAAACATGGAGAAGTTTTTCGTTGTGAAAAGTGTGAATCCTCTGAAATCTGGTTGCTCTAAAAGACCAGCAAATAATGTAACTCGACCAATAAATCAATATTGAGAAGAAGATCAGCAAAGATGTTGCAGGGGCGGATCTAGGCGGTTTAGGGGGTTTAACCCCCCGATCCCCCTTGGGCTGCCAAGTGAAAATGTGATGTGCATAGAAAAATGCTATCACGTGTCCAAACCTACACACAGTGGCGTATGCAGGATTTTTTCAAGGGGGGGGGGGGTTAAAATTTTGAAATCGGGCCAAAAATTTCGCAATGACTTGAACCCCCGTTACACAGTAGTAGTAGATGTGAGTAGATGCCAGGAAAACATCACTAACGGGGGTTCAAAATAGCACCAAAAAAAAAAATCGCCTCGCCGTTCGTGGACAATGCTCTGCATGTTAGTAGATGCCAGGAAAACATCACTTACGAGGGTTCAAAATAGCAACAACAAAAATCTCCTCGCCGCTATGTGGCTCGTGGACGATGCTCCACATCGTATTTGGGTTACCCCCCCCCCCCCCACCCTTAGCAAAAAGCTAGACCCGCCCTTGTGTTTTGGAAGGATATGGTAAAGACTAAAAGTAAAGAAAAATGTAAATAAGGTTGCTCCGAATAATGAGGAGGACAATATGTGCAGAATGGAAAGAAATGGAGAAAATGTCATCACGGGCAGGCAAAGATCCAGGATTTCACCTTGTTTTTTCTTCTTCCTCTTTTTTGGTCCCTTTTAGCTCTCCTTTTTTCCTTTTCCTTCCTTCTCTCTCTTTTTTTTTAGCAGGGGCGGGGGGAGTCAAAGGCCTTTTGCCCCACCCCCGTCTGCAACTTGTTGGCGGAAAAATTGCAACTGATATCCCCCTTCTTTTCTTTACTTCTTCCTCAATTTTCCTTCCCTTTATCTCCTCTTTTCCTTTTTTCTTTCCATTTCCTTCCTTCCTTCTCTCTTATTTTGTTTTATTGGGGGAGGCAACAGCCTGGGAGGCAAGGTCCTTTCGCCCCCCCCCGATCTCCTTCTTCCCCTTGTTCTTTTCTTCTTCTTCTTCTTCTTTCTTTCCCTTTCTCTCCTCTTTCCCTCTTTTCCTTCTCTCTCTCTCTCTCTCTCTTTTGCGGAAGGGGGGGGGGGGGGGCAAGGTCCGCTCACCCCCGCTGGATCCGTGCCTACATCTACCTTATATCTACTAACGTTAGACCCTAATAATGGATCTAGAAGATTGATTGACCTGGTCTCAGTGACGGGTAAACTTTTTTTTCTCAATTACTTGGTCTAACTATGAAAACCGTCTAATTTTACTTTAGATTTTCAAACAGTAACAGTTACGACCTATATTAGGCCTAAGGCCAAGGGCTGTACTCTACATTTTAATAACAAATTAACGTTAATGTTAGACTTAACTTAAACTGTTGTTTATCTGTGATACAAGTGGGAAAGGAACACTTTTTTTTCACCAAAAAAAAATATTTCCCCTTTTTTTCCCCCTTCTTTTTTCCCAGGGGGGGGGGGGGAATTGCAACTGATATCCCCCTTTTTTCTTTACTTCTTCCTCAATGTTCCTTCCCTTTATCTCCTCTTTAGTGACTGGTCCCTCAGAAACTAGTGCTAAGCTAGTCACAGAGAATTCATGATTTTAACTGATGCCTGTCAGTGCATTGTAAATTTGATTTTTCTTCTAATTTCATTTCATTTTTTTTTTATATTTGATAAATATGGTGCATTGGCATATGGCCCATGGTTGGAGCGTTGGATGCGTTGAACAGCGTTGGTGTATTATGTGGATTTATCATATTCATATTCTGAATATTTTCAGCGAATTTAATAATATTGAAAAGGATGCAATTCATAGTTGTACCCGATAATTCTCACTTAACATATTCTCTCTCTCTCTCTCTCTCTCTCTCCCTCTCTCCCTGTCTTGCATAAAGAAAATATAAAAATAATATTTTGCCTTGATTAAAGGTAATACAAAGTTTTGGTCTGGGATGATGAATTTGGTTCAAATGAACATATTGGAAGCATATGCGATCCTACAATATTCAGTGATCGTTGTCGAGGTCGAAATCGACTCTAAATTTATGAAATTGTAAATAATAAACACTTTATGTTGTATAGCTCCCTCTCAAGGTCAAGATATTAATTAAGCTATAAAACAATGTATCTTGACTCAAATCGACCGATTAGCTATTCCCGTTCGGAAATTATATAGCAAAACTACATATTCTGAGATTTTCATGGTCGCAGCTATCATTGTACGGCCGTAGGAGCTATTTGAAATTTATCAAAATTTACCGGGAGCACACTACATATTCTGAGATTTTCATGGTCGCAGCTATCATTGTACGGCCGTAGGAGCTATTTGAAATTTATCAAAATTTACCGGGAGCACCGGTAAATCTTTATATTCGATTTTTCTCAAAAGCAGAAGTTTTTAGGGGCTAACATTTCTTGTGCTTTTAATACATCCACAGGGGCATCCAAATATATCAAAATTGTAAAGAATCATTACCCACCCATTTTTCCAAATTTACCAAAACTTTGTAATACCTTTAAGAAAAATTGAAAATTTGATCAGGATTAAACAGGGAGAAGGAAAGGGGAGGAAATTAATCAAAACAAACACTGAAGAATCCAATTCAGCGTTCTTTCGTGATGCATAAGAATGAAAGTACATTAAAAGGTGAAATGATAAACTGAAGAGCGATGATAAATCAATTCTTTGACTTTGATTGATTGAATAAAAAATAATGAAACGATATGCTCTGAGGGTCATATATCTTCGAATATTAGAAAGTTTCATCCACCATCGTGTTGTTGAACACTATTTGCAATTTAATTTTAATGCGGTGACTTGTCGGTTACGAGCAGAAGGTCATTTCAGGCTTCTATATTCTATAATATTATCAACAGATATCTGGATAGAGACACTTCGTCACATCAAGCTACGAGAAAGTATATCATCGTCTCACAGAAATCGAAATTCTTTTCACCCTTTTTTTTCTTCTTCCTCTTTTTGGTCACTTTTAGCTCCTGATTGCAACTGGTATCCCCCTTCTTTTCTTTACTTCCTCAATTTTCCTGCCCTTTATCTCCTCTTTTCCTTTTTTCTTTCAATTTCCTTCCTTCCTTCTCTCTTATTTTGTTTTATTGGGGGGGGGGGGGGGGCAACAGCCTGGGAGGCAAGGCCCTTTCGCCCCCCGATCTCCTTCTTCCCCCTTTTCTTTTCTTCTTCCTCTTTCCCTTTCTCTCCTCTTCCCCTTTCCCTCTTTTCCTTCTCTCTCTCTCTCTCTATTTTGCGGAGGGGGGGGGGGGGGTGGGGGGGGGGGCGCAAGGTCCGCTCACCCCTGCTGGATCCGCGCCTGCATCTATCTTATATCTACCAACGTTAGACCCTAATAATGGATCTAGAAGATTGATTGACCTGGTCTCAGTGACAGGTAAACTCTTTTTTTTCTCAATTACTTAGTCTAACCATGAAAACCGTCTATAATTACTTTAGATTTTCAAAGAGTAACAGTTACGACCTAAATTAGGCCTAAGGCCAAGGGCTGTACTCTAAATTTTAATAACAAATTAACGTTAACGTTAGACTTAACTTAAACTGTTGTTTCTCTGTGATACAAGTGGAAAAGGAACACTTTTTGTTCAAAAAAACAACAACTTTCCCCTTCCCCCTTTTTTTTTTCCCAGGGGGGGGGGGGGGGGCGGGGGCGGCCCCCGGGCCCCCCTGGATCCGCCACTAATCATGGGGATAAAAGTATACAGCTATGTAACAAGTACATTTCTAAGAGGGAAAATGCCGACTTAGTGATAATGATAAAGTGATAAGTGATAATGATAAAATACCAAGGAATTTAGGATTTTCATGGGTACCAATCCAATGGAAATTTGTATTAAAATAAGAGCCCCCGTCAGCGCTAAAGGAGCCCGCGTGAGAAGGCTCACGGGGGCTCTTTTTTTTGGAAGAGCCCCCGTGGACAAAAATTTAACTTGAGCCCTGGCTCAGTGACACATAAACCACTTTTTCTCAAAAGGGCCGAAATGGAGTTACGTCTTTGTGTCACTGGCTTCTCGATATGGGCTTGATAGATTCCGCATCAGCTGCTAGGATGTCAAGTTCTTGCAAACTCCATTGTACGACCCTGTCAGAGTTCAGATGAGAAACATAGAGATTTGAGTACCCGCAAATGTACTTTTTTGCTTTAGAGAGGGAAGTAATCACATATCTCCTTCAAATTCCTAGGGCTAATAAAATGAAATCCATACAGCAACCTGACTGAGAATAAGCTGTCCAACAGCCGATTCATCAGTTTTTATCTGATAGTTGTTGTTGTTGTTTTATTTCCGTATAATAAAAATCAGATACAAATACATATAAAATAATCATACAGAGAAAAATGGACCGTATACGGCTGGTAGCCCATATTCAGCTGCAACTATAATTGTTGCTGCTGGTCTTCCATGGGCCAGTTTACAATATACAAAATATACATAATATTACAAATTAACAAAATAAATAATTACAACAAAGTATCAGTCGAAAACATAATACAAATACTTAAAGGAAAAAAAACACACAAAAAAAACAAGCAAACAAACAAAACAAACATCATATAAACATACATAAAGAGGTACAACAACAAGGTGATTATAGTCTGTTTAGGTTAGTCTTAAAGGTGGCAAAAGTGGGTAGTTGACGCAAATCAGGGGATAATTTATTATATTGAAAAGAAGCTCTGTACACAAAAGTTCTTTTACAATAATTAGTTCTTGGCTTAGGTAAAGAGAGGTTATGTGCATTACGGAGGGAGTATGGAGAGGGTTTAAACTCAAACATGTCTTTCAAATATTCAGGGGTCATGTTATGTAATGTTTTGTAAGTTAGGAGTAATAAATAACTTAGCCATAGTACATCCCCGTAATAAAAGTGAGGTAATATGATGGAATTATAGATTAATTTCAATTCAGACATATTCACAAATTGTCTTAGTCTACATAAATAACTAACCATTTTACTTAGTTTGTTACACGTCTGTTTATGTGAACATTCCATTTTAATTTTTTCATCCACATGTACACCGAGATATTTAAAGCTCTTTACTTGGGACAACTATTGTTCTTTGATTTTGATATTTAAAAGCGGTTGTTTTTTAAGCATGTTATGTGTTCCTAGTAACATGTATACAGTTTTGTCGTAATTGATCATTAAGTTGTTTTATTCATCCACGCATCAAGGCTATTAATTTCTTTATTTAAAACATTTTCCACCACTTTTGGATTTTTAAGTGAATAATAAATGACCGTATCATCTGCATAAAGATGGACCTTGCAGGTGTTGAAAGCAGAATTGATGTCATTTATAAAAAATAATGGACAGGGGCCCCAGCAAAGAACCTTGCGGCACACCTTTCGTAGTTAATCTTTCATCAGAAAGGACATTATTTACGCTTTCATGACTGGGCTTTAAATGCAATTGTATATTATTCATCAAGGATCTCATCATCAATGCTACATAGTTAGATTTTCTTCCAGTCAGTGCTAAATGTCTGAGATTGTCCGTTCTGGCTCAGGTTCTAGTTTCTTGGTGTTGTGTTTTGGCACGGCTCGGTGGCATCTGAAGTACTTGCTGTTTTGGGGGTATGGGTTGCAAGTGAGCGCAGAACCTGGTGGAAGCCTTTTTCATCAGTATAAGGTTTCAAGGTTTTTCTTTATTTTCCACATGATATAACATAATCAAATGAATAAGCAATATATAAATCCAATAACATAATACAGGCGCGGATCCAGGATTTCTTAGGGGGGGGGGGGCCCAAATTTGAAATTATGCGAGCCAAATATTGGTACGTTATGGTGACCAACAGTAACGTAATGCGGGGGGGGGGGTGGGGTCGGTGCAAGGGGGGGGGGGCGAGTTTCCCCCTCCCAGGCTTTGACGTTTCATTACATTATTAGAGAAAGAAAACGATTCGTTGTACCGTTCTCGAAAACAATTCTCGTCTGGATTTAGTTTTTTCCCCTCCCGCGCGAAGCGCGGAAAATTTTACGATTTATTAAATTATTAGAGAAAGAAGACGATTCGTTGTAGAGTTCTCGACTCTTAATCCTTGTCTAAATTCAGTCCCTCCCTCCCCCTCCTGCGCGAAGCGCTGAAGCTTTGACGTTTTATTAAACTATTAAAGAAAGAAGACGATTCGTTGTACCGTTCTCGACCCTTTATCCTCGTCTGATTTCAGTTCCCCCCCTCCCGCGCGAAGCGCGGAAGCTTTTACGTTCCATTAAATCATTAGAGAAAGAAAACGATTCGTTCTAAAGTTTCCGACTCTTAATCCTTGTGTAAATTCAGTCCCCCCTCCCCCTCCTGCACGAAGCGCGGATGCTTTGACATTTTATTAAACTATTAAAGAAAGAAGACGATTCGTTGTACCGTTCTCGACCCTTTATCCTCGTCTGATTTCAGTTCCCCCCCCCCTCCTGCGCGAAGCGCGGAAGCTTTTACGTTTCATTAAACCATTAGAGAAAGAAAGCGATTCGTTGTAAAGTTCTCGACTTCTTAATCCTTGTCTAAATTCAGTTCCTCCCTCCCCCTCCTGCGCGAAGCGCGGAAGCTTTGACGTTTTTATTAAACTATTAAAGAAAGAAGACGATTCGTTGTACAGTTCTCGACTCTTAATCCTTGTCTAAAATCAGCCCCCCCCCTCCCCTCCTGCGCGAAGCGCGGAAGCTTTTACGTTTCATTAAATCATTAGAGAAAGAAAACGATTCGTTGTACAGTTCTCGACTCTTAATCCTTGTCTGAAATTAGCCCCCCCTTCCCTCCTGCGCGAAGCGCGGAAGCTTCTACGTTTAATTAAATCATTAGAGGAAGAAAACGATTCGTTGTACAGTTCTCGACTCTTAATCCTTGTCTAAAATCAGCCCCCTCCCATCCCGCGCGAAGCGCAGAAGCTTTTACATCTTATTAAATCATTAAAGTATTACCGTATTACCGTTCTTGCCTCTGAATCCTCGTCTGAATTCAGTCCCCCCCCTCCCCTCCTGCGCGAGGCTTTGACGTTTTATTATTAGAGAAAGAAAACGATGCGTTGTACCATTCTCTATACTCTTAATCCTTGTCTGAATTTCAAAGACGTTCTTTGTCTGCTCCTTTTTCTTCCTTCGTCCTCTTCCGATTGGGGGGACCGCCCCCCCCCCGGCTACGCGCCTGCGGTCAGATAAACACAATCTTGATACCCTGTCCGACCCCGCAAGCTCAGGGGTTTAAGGCAATAAATTACGGTCAGATAAGCATTCAGGGGCCTACCTTAGGGCCCCTGGTGGGGCCGAGGCGGCGGAGCCGGCCCCGGAAGCTCAGGGGTTTTAGGCGTTTAATTAAAGGTCAGATGAGCATATTTTTGTGTATACCTTATTATTTTGTGACACTGGCAAGTCACTATTTGGCGTGGGGTCCAGGGGGCGGAGCCCCAAAAAATCAGGGGTTTTAGGCATTAAATTACCGTCAGATGATCATCTAAGGGCCCGCCGTAGGGCCCTAGATGGAATCCAGGGGGCAAAGCCCCGGAAGCTTAGGGGGTTTAGGCATTTAATCACGGTCAGATTATTTTGTTAACACTGGCAGTTAACTATTCTTACTTTCTTGCTCTCATTCTATTTTATTTCTCTTTAATATACTTTTTCAAGAAAGGTGGGGGGGGGGGGGGGGGGGGGGGGGGGAGAGCTCGAGGCTCTCGATCCCGCCGTACCTCGGGCCCTGACGTGTAGGAATCTCAAGAATCATATTTTTGCTGGTTGTAAATTTAGGAATATGTCATTTTTCAACAAACACATACAAACGTATAATTTATTAAAAAGTGAGGAAAAATTTGGAAATTATGTCATGTCAGCATTATTTGTAATCTACCGTTGTGGAATTAGAAATAAACCACGTTTGAATTTGATTTCCCCCAAGCCCCCCCCCCCCCCTCTATCAGTACACCAGTATCTCCCCTTTTCCTTTTTCTTTCCCTTTCCTTCCTTCTCTTATTTTTTTTTGATTGGGGGTGGGGGGGGGGGGGGGGGTTAACAGCCTGGGAGGCAAGGCCCTTTCGGCCCCCCGATCTCCTTCTTCCCCCTTTTCTTTTCTTCTTCCTTTCTTTCTTTCCCTTTTTCTCCTTTTTCCCTTTCTCCCTTCTTTTCCTTTCTTCTCTCTTTTTTTTTTTTTTTTTTTTTTTTTTTGCGGGGGGGGGGGGGGGGCCAAGGCCCGCTCGGCCCCCCCCCTGGATCCGCGCCTGACATAATATAAACCAAACATTTACAAATGATTATATAATTATTCAAATAAATCATTTAAGATTGGCACAGTGGTAAAACATAGTAAAGGAGTCTATTAAAAAAGCATGGCTTGTATTTTATCGACACCTTGAGAATAAAAAATAAGTTACAAGTGCTCTTTAATATTATTAGAAAATATATGTATAAAAATGCTTATAAGAGACATTCCTGACAACCACTAAGACAAGAGAAGTCTCCAAAATGTTGAGACCTATGAAGTCAAGTAGTCCTTGGAGCCAAGAGCTCACAGGTGATGTGCCTCCTTCTAGGGACGGCAAGTTGGCAAAGATTGGCAGGCTGTAGAGACCAAGGGGGCGTTTCACAAAACTTGTCATCAGTGACAAATGACAGTTTTTGTTTTAAGCTACTACCGTCCTTGCTTCTGATTGGTTATCAGCAGATTTGTCACCGACCCTTGTCATTTGTCATTGGAAAAAGGCTTTGTGAAACGGGTCCCTGAACTCCATGTCTGCCCGTATCGGCACAACCTGATGACGAATGGAAGAATGATGATAAGGGCTGAGAGAACATCAGCCACGCAGAGGAATATGAATCCTGGAGCATACGAGGATGTGTGGTCGTACAGAGCACCTGTGTGTGACAGGAATGAAAGAAAAAAAAAACCTGTCGAGGGTTCAGTGACACAAAGACGTACCGGTAACTCCATATTTTCCCAAAATGAGTATTTGATATCAAAATGTTCAGAAAAATGTGGGCTTTCCAGGACACACAAAGACTAAACTCCTTAAGGCCCAAGTGCTCAGTGACATATAAACCTTTTTTTTTCTCAAAATGGAGTTACGTCTTTGTGTCACTGACCCCTCGAGAGAGAGAAGTAGATATACAGTTAACAACTAAATTATTCATACCCAATTTAAGTTTGATGTTGATGTGTGTTTCTCGTAAGACCGGAATGAAAGGTGGGCTGGTTGAATTAGGGCCTTTTTTATATATATAATTAGATGCAAGTTTTGATGTGTCACATTCTTTAGCAACAGAAATTGGGACAAATCGGTTTTTCACATACATGTACTGTGTGCTTGAAATAGTACACAACTTGGTAAGGGTATGAATAATTAAGTTCTTAACTGGAAATAGAAAGAGAGAGTGTGGTGTGTGTGAGTGAGTAAGTGGGTGAGAGAAAGAGAGAGAGAGAGAGAGAGAGAGAGAGAAGCAATAAAGAGCTAGAGACAGGGGGTCTGTTTAATTTGAAAAATAAAAAGATCAAATAGACTTCAACATATGTTAGAGACAGGTAAAAGATATCTGTCATAACTTTTCATTGTACTTCATCTGTATGTTAATTTTGTGGCAATATCCACTGTAGCCACTCTGCAGGATGGACATTTCCAATATGGTATGATGTATTGAAGAAAATCTTTTAAAAATCTGAATGATGACCTAATCTTATCTTGGATTTCAAGACTGAAATTTAAAGTTTATTCTTAAATCAGATGCGTAGCGGCTTTCCATGATGTCATCCATGTATCTAAAAACTAGTTTGCGCAATATCCTATCTATGTGTGTGTTAGTTAGTAATTACCACTATTTTGTATAACATTCTGTTCTGGATAAAAAAATAATATCTGTATTTTTATTGACTAAAAAAACACTACTGTTTGAAAAATGATCTTTTAATGTCAACTTACCCGTGACACATTCTCCCAAAATTTCACCAAGTCCGAAAATTGACATAGTCCAGGTCAAGCCAGCAGGGAAAAGATTATCAGTGGTTGCTTCTTTACAGAGGAAGTTGGCGAAGACCACCTTGAATCCTCCACTGAATCCGGCAAGTCCCGCTGCGATGGACAACTGCCAGAAATTAGACGCAAAGACATTGCCCAGCGACGCAGCGGCTGTCATCAGGGATAAGAACGAAAAGAAGATGAAAGGGTCTGGAGAGCATCGCCAGGAGACGATCCCAGCACCTATCCGACCAAGGGCGTTGCTGCCACCATTGGCAAGTGCCAGTAAGGATGCAGTCTCTGCATCCAGACCCTTGGACTCTGCGTTGGGTATTAAAAAGACGATCCAACAGCAGTATGAAATTGCACAGAAGAATTGAGAGATAGCTACGGCAATGAAGCGACTGTCTGTTGTAAAGACCGTGATATCAAACGTCTTCGCCATAAAGGTAAAAAATGATCACATTTGTTACCGAAGCGCGAATTCCTCTCACGGCCGTGATCAGTATGGATACCTTCGCTCAGTTCATCCATCGTAATTTCTTGACTAGTTGATGAGGACCCGTGGGGTTCATCTGGCTGTTGTCGAATGAGGAGAGGACAATTTTCCGAGCTGCCTCCGCGCCTCCTGCCAACATTCTGAGGGCTACTCTGTATCATTGCCCCCACGACTATGGTATTGAGGTTCAGAGCTCCTAGAATAGCCAAAGCCCACCTCCAGTTGTAGATCATCACAAGCCATTCGGTGATGACTGGTAGGATCATGATGCCAGCCGAAGCCCCAAGAAGCATAATAGACATGATCAGACCGAAACGATGCTTAAAGTAGATGCTTGGTAGGACCATGATGATGGGTGTGTACAATGCGTTGCCCAAGCCTGGTTTTGAGATGATATCCAAAAAAGAATGTACAATAACGCAGTACATATATCAGGAAAAATGACCCAGGAATAACAAAGTTCTGTTTGTTTTAAGTGATGCTTGCATTTCCATAATTCGATTATAAGTTCGTTTTCACTTTTATCAGTCTTATATTTGTTTTCGTTTGACTCTGTCGGCTTGGACTTGAATTTGTAATACCGAGTAAAGGTTTCAAGAAAAAGTTCAAATTCTTTATTTACATCGCGAGAATTTAAAACCTCAACTAAGTCAACTAAACTTAAGCTTTGTTTAAATTTATCATTATTTCTACCGGTTAACTTACGACAACCTGGATTAAAAGCATTCGGTGTTCTAGATAATTGCAAGATTGATAAGTTAGAATAAATTGGAAAATGGTCACGTACAGAGATGCCCAGAGGGGCCACTCCCAACATGAATGGCTACGCACCCGCGTCCAGAAAAAGCGGCGAAAGGGTCTCTTTTTTCAGCTATACGACGGCGTCGACGTTTTCCTTAAAAAGGGGTGTTTTTCAAGCACTGATCGCACAAAAAACAAAAAAAGGGTACTTTTTCAGGATCACAGGTTTCAGCGTTTTTAAAAAAGGGGAATTTCAGAAAAAGTGCGATAGGCCATTGGGGTCCATTTCAGATGTTGATGGACACGGGTGGGTAGCATTTGTGTATGAGAGTGACCCCCTGGCCAGAGATGATGATACCAGAAATAGCTTGAACACACATATTTGTAAATAAGTTATCTATGAGCGAGGCTGTTGTCTTTGTTCGAGAAGGCTTATTTATGAGAGGTATATAGGATTGCGAGGACAATGAGTCCAGAAATTCATTGCAGAACAAATTTTAATTTTCATCAAGAAGATTTATATTGAATAATATTGAATAATAGTACTGAATATGGAACAAAACAGAGCATATCTAACCACAATTGAAAATAAGAAAGTTATACATTTTAGAAGTTGTACTCAATTGAACACAATTTGATTACTCTTAAATATCTTTTGAGGACCTCTTCCATTTGCTCTGTACAAGAAAATTGATCAAGAAAATTCATACTTTTGATTTTCGTAGTTATTGATGAAGGAATAGCTTTTGTATGCAGGGACTACAATATACATGTATATGATTGAAAATTTCCTTCTGAGAAAATAGAAATGTACAATTTATTTATTTTCGTACTTATCAGTCGATCGCAAACTACGTCACAGAGTTGACAATTCGTGTTTGATCAATTGCAACTTTCTAATCTTTCATCAGATTTGCTCAAACTTTTGCTGATCGTTTCTCCCATTGTTCTACTAGTTTGAATCCAATGGAATCAGGGTGGACCCCCCGTTTAAACCTTTATTAGGAACCACTTTCACCACCCCGAAAATACAGTGACTACCCATGATGAGTACACAAAAAAAGAAGAAAAATTCAAATCACTCACATTTCAAAATAAGGTCCCAAGAACAATTTCTTTTTACGTTTGGGTAAAACAATTATTGCAGGGGAAGATACCATTTGGTACTATTAAATTTAATTATTTTTCTTCCAAACCCATCAATTTTAATATACCAGATTTGATTTTGCATTGGAAGGAACCCCTACTCCCCCCCCCCCCCGCCCGAAATAAAGGAAGGAAAAAGAAAACGCATCTCATAATGTCTATAAATCTCTGGCTTTGTCGTCTATAATTATGGTCGGGGTAGGCATAATTAGGGGCAATTTTTAACTTAAGGTATACCAGGTTGTATTCTGCGGAGGTGCCCCCTCTACCCCCTCCCCTCCCCCTCCGCAATGAATATATAATGTGCATGTTACGATGTTGCGGCTGCTGTTGATTGCATCGTATAGTTCTTGAAAGCAGAGGAGCGTTTGGCAAACTTTGCTTCAACTGGTTACAACATGGCTTATAAATGTACATGCATATTCTTTTTCTTTTGTGCTTGCCCAACAAAGCGGTATTCACCATATTGTTCCCAATTCGAACCGTATCGGCCAAACTCTCCTGATCAATGTAATGGCTCTTCTTGAAAGTCATGTTACCTGAGAGAAAAAGCATGAAACCAAAGAGGGCTCCGTTGGGGCATATAGATGCTAGAACGATGGAGAGACCATTCACAGCGCCTCCTACCATGATCAAGAGACGGGCCGGGCATCGACGTAACAGGGGAATTGTGATGACGGCTAAAAAACAAGAATAATAATAGTAACAACAAACAACTTGTGACATTAACAAGGAAATAAATAAAGTTAGAGAGATTTATAATCGTCACATTGATATGAAAATTTCCGGAGACAGATGTATACTGCTAAGATTTATTAGAAGAAACGTTCCGTTTTGCTCTAGATTTACGCCCTAATGTTGATTTGTAGACCAGCCATGACGTGGAATTTTACTTTAAAGGTGAAATTCAATGAAAATCACAAATATGTCAACTAATGTATCACCAGAAACTGGTAAGCTAACAGATGGCCATCGTACAAGGTTTAGGTCAACTACATGTCGGGTGATTTATAAAAATACAAATACAACCACCTCCATAGCAGCTGGGATATACGAGAGTTGTTAACACGTTCTCAACCGACATAATACTTACAAAGGATAAGTGACACGCCAGATACCATGCTTATACAGAATCCAACAAAAGCTGTACTGACGTCCAAGTCCGCGATGATGTCATTGATGAGTAGGCCAAGGGATTTGATCATCCCATACTGGAGGAAGAAAACGAAAAACCCGCCCGCTAATATCAGCCATTTTCGACATCCTGATGTGCGCTCCATGTTAAATTTATTTGTCCTTGCGGAAAAGCTTTTTGTTTTCTGTAATCCTGTCAGCATATATTTCTGTTTATTCTCATGTTGAATAAAGGTCCTGAATAAAAAATTGTTTGAACTGTGCAGACGAAACAGAGAGAAAAGGTGATATAGGAGGAGAAAGAAAAAATATCGCGTTTATTCAACTAGGGCATCGTTTCAGGACAAGCTATACAAGTTCACCGACGTCTGTCGAGAGTCTGAAGTTCACTAAGTTACGCTAAACTACATAATAATTGCGTACCGGTATTAATGCGAGGCATTCGGCCATTATCAGTGTTTAACGGACCGTATTATATTATGAATTATAAGGGTAGGATAACATTAGTGCAGGTATCCCCATACATATTCCTGTTGTCTTTGTATATGCAATGGAATTATAATAAAGCACAAATTTACATGTGTTGTGAACAGATCGAATATAAGGGAGTTTACAGATAGCACATGGTACAAATGACCCCAAATATCCACAGATCTTTTACACATAGTTCCACTTTGAGCATCTTAGAATAATAACTGCCAAAGTCCTAGATGTGCTTCATGAATACCTTTTGTTTGACCTCTTGAAAAGAATATTTCATAGAATATTTTATTTTGTATCATAGAATGTACCGTTGGTGCATAAATGAATAATGTTACATAACTTTCATGAGCGCACATCCAGTATTCATCTCTGTGGGTTTTACCATTTTGGTACAAATGACCTTTATCTGCCCATGCGCAGATTGTATCTGTGAACTGGCTTATTGGTGAGGGCTCTTGACCATTTTGGCCCGAATTCACAAAGAAAGTTTGTCGACCAACCTATAGGTTTATGTGCGTCATATGACGCGTTTTTAAAGGCCAAGGTTTGTAAAAACGCATCGAAACGCGTCATAATTATGACACACATAAACCTTGGTTTGTCGACAAACCTCCTTTGTGAATTCAGGCCTTTGACTCTGTACGAGCCCGTACGAGAAGTTCCGAGTTTGATCATCTCCCAGCTCTACAACTGTACTTCTCAATTCAGGTTTAAAATGGTGATCTGCATGGCATTAGTATAGACCATTTTCGTAATGTGTTCAAGCGTGATGCACAAGTCTTGAAGTGCCTAAATTATTTCTTAGGTAGGACAAGCCATAATGTTTGTCCTTACTTGCAAAATGATAATGTATGCAAGTTGCAATCTGCTAAAGGAAAACAATTATTCATAAAGGTAAAGACCAGTATTGGAAACGCCCCAATTTCAAAAAATGAAATGGAAGCTCTCATTACCAATCATGTGAAAGAATATGTTTTGACTAATACATGATGATAAAAAATTTGCCGGGAAACCGCCTACTAATTCATATATTTGGTAAATTTGTTTCTCTCATGGTCTGTGAGAGATATAGGGTAGTCCCATATACATCTTTCTGTGTATAGTGCTTGTAACTTTACGAAGAATGGGCCAAATTTCTTATCATTTTGATGATTCCAGAACCTTGCAGATGCTAGATGCTAGATGATCAACCTTTTGTGATCGATTCCACAACGTTTCTTTCACAATGCAATCGCATGACCATAACTGGTCTTTACCTTTAACAGGTGAATGTAATAATTTGAAAATGGTCTATTGATGTAATATTAGTTATCATACTATCATGATTATAATATATTCTATATTATTTATATATGATATATAGCAATGGGTAACTTTTTCTGTCTTGATTATACCTGTAGGCGTTTTTTTAAATATTTTTCTTTCAAACGTGCTACAAAGTTATATATTCAACGTAAAAGTAACCGTGTGGTCATTTTGATATCAAAGTCGATATACATGATTTAAACCATCTTGTTCACACCTTAGATTAATTCGTGATAAATAATCCATTCATCTGGTGTGATTATGCTCCTTTTCAATAAAATATTTTAGTTGGTAAAAGTAATACAAACTATAGCTTTTCGGCCTACGGCAAACATGATCATGATGATTAAGTTATAAATCGGTACAAATAATTGTGTTCGGGTTTATTTTCGCGGATTTCTATAGGTAATGAACAGGGTTATTAAAGTTGCCTCATGTTGATTTTTCATAAGTCCTTTGGATCGTAATATTAAAAATGATTAAAGCCTAATGACTGCTATTTTTCTCTCTGGAGAAAGAGTGTGGGAGTGCATGGGGAAAAAGTAGATAGATGATAATTAATATAGTCCTGCAGTGGCGATTGACGAAAAATAGGCAAGTGAAGAATAAATAATGAAACAACCATTAGAGAAATAAAATTAATTATTTTCGGCTTTAATCCTTTGTCAATTAATGACAAACGAATTTGTCGTTAATTGACAAAGGCTTAAAGCCCAAGTCCACTCCAAAAATAACTTACTTCAAATAGAACCAGAAAAATCAGACAAACCAATCAAAAAAAGTTTGAGCAAAATCAGATAACTAATAAGAAAGTTATGAATTTTTAATGACATGAAAAACTTTGAAAATCACTACACAAATTGGCAACTCACTCATGAATCTGTGACGTATGGTCCTAACTATCTACTAATTATTTTCTTTATATTGATAATAGATATTTCCTATTTTCACCCTAAAAGTCTAATTTCTTCACACCAGCATCCAAGTTAGATTGTTAGTAATATGTTTTTGTGTGGATGCACAAATAAAGAGTAATTTTTGTCCCGTTAAATCATGAAAAAAATGTATTTTGATAAACTATTTATAGAAAAATCAATCATATTGCTCCGATTGTCTCATTTTCGCTCGCGTGAACATTGCCAGCACAAACCACTGACCTCTACCTCCTGTACGGATCATCGCCCAATCCTATTCATTATACGTTACGTACTAAAAGGCTGTATTGTCTGACCGTTCATGAATATTCATGTTTTTGCTTACCTCGGCTAAATGTTTGCTTTTACTAAATTGAAAAATTACGGTGGGGGTTTGGATGAAATGGACATAATGAAATAGGCAGAAATGATATATGATAATTCATGCTCTTTATGTTTCGTGTGCTCGACCCATAATCTTCAAATCGCTTGGGAAACTTAGTCCAAAGTTAGACTTGTTTTACATGTGTATTATAGGCAATGACGAGCTTGCAACCTATTTTGAAAAATTACGGTGGGTGAACTTTCAAAAGTCAATGAGACGTGAGGGCTCCAATGAAAGAGCCAGTGATAACGTACGTCGGGGTGGATGTGCTTTTCGTTTAAACAAAAAATGATTTTTTTTTTTAACGATTTAAAAAAAAAACGTCCATAGGCTAACATGTTAGGCTGCTGGCTCTGATCATGCTCTGACGATAGGGGGCGTTGTGAAATGAGACTAAACGGAGCCATATGAATTATGAAATACAATATTCAGAAAATAGTATCAATTCTGCACAATTCATTAACAAAATTGGGAAATGTCATGCACGCAATACGATACAAATCATTAACATGGGCAAAGGCGTGGGGAAATCAAGTTTTGGGGTATATAAAGGGAAATTAATGGGATTAAACTATATAAAGCAATTGATAAGTTGTGAGGACATGACGTCACAAACTGATAACCATCTTGGCAAATTGTGTTGTGATTCTCATTGTTCCATAGTTTTACATACTTTTTCAAAAATTCATAACTTTTTCATTAGTTATCCCATTTTGCTCAAACTTTTTTTGATTGGTTTGTCTGATTTTTCTGCTTTTATTGAAAATAAGTTATTTTTGAAGTGGACTTGCCCTTTAAGTTTGTAAATCTATAAATTCCTATATATACCTAACGGTTGTTTCATTAAATTCTTCTTCACTAACTTGTCTAGATAGATTTATTGATCAAAACAAATTGCGATGTTTTTGCCATGATCAAATTGTAAACAACAAAGATCACAGCATCATTGTGACAAAAATAACTACTATTGTGTCATTCTACTATCAATGTTCGTGTGTACAGTGACTTTACGCTCAACCAATAATGTGTAATCATCCACAACCTAGCATCGTTTACCCAATATGCATGAACCTGCATGCAATCATGATCAGCGGATGTATTAGTTTTTATTGCATTAAAAGGAAACCAACGATCCTTCTCTCCCCTTTCTTTTTCTTCTCTGCAAGTCACTCTTCTGCTTAGTTTAATTTTTTTATTGTTGTATCTAAGTTGAAGGATGCGGGCACGTCAAGCTACTATGCTTAAATTCTGTAGCCCTCCTGCATCTAATGTATGTTAATCATGCATTCAATAGCCATAATGTTTGTCCCCCTTGCAAAATGAATAATGTATGCAGTTTGTAATCTGACTAATGGAAAACAATTATTCTTAACATGTGAATGTAATAATTTGAAAATGGTCTCTTGATTTAATAATTATTAGTTACCATACTATCATGATTATATCATATTCTTTTAATTATTAGCACGATAAAAGCTAATTATGGTACGTACATTCCTGAGCGTAAGGACAAAATATGTCCTCCTTTGTTTGGAGGTGAAACTGTGTATATGATCGAATCTCTCTGATTCAAGCCGACGGAAGCGCCCTCATCCGGTTGAAGATAAAAAAGAAGAAGAATAAATTATACCTGGCCCGTAACTATGAGGGGGAGGGGTGGGGATGAGATGGTGCGTGCCCCCCCCCCCCCTCCCACCGCTAGCGACAAGAGATCCGAAAAATAGAGAAGCTCAGCCTGATATAATTATGCAACAGTGCAAACAACAGAGGTAGGACACATTTACTAGTGTTACTTTGGGGTTAAAAATTGTACCTAAATCTTGATTTTCAGACACAAAATTGCCAAAAGTTCCCCTACCCTTGAAGGGGAAGGGGGGGGGGGGCAGACTCTCCCCTCGCTGTGCCCTCAAAGGGAACCACCTCATAATGTCTGCACCCCCTCACTAAAATCTTAGTCACAGGCACATTGCATTCAGTTGAATTCAATTTTCATAAGAGTCAATTTCATAGCTTTCCACTAATTTAAAATCAAGCAACGAATTGAATAACTATATTGTATATTGTCATTGTAAATTGTTTCATAAAGGTTGAAATAGAGATTTGAATCGAATACTTGAAAAGTAAGCTTAAAATAGCCATGCTTTTGACTTCGCATAAGCTATAGGCACATCACTAATCATTCGAATTTCTGCTATTAGAATCACCGAATTTTAATTTTTTATCATCGGTTATCTATGAGCAGTGATAATAATCAGACCTACTCCGGATTTTCCACATAATGAAAGTCTCATTGTTTTCACACTAAAATTTCATTCCCTTTAATTTTTGTTGCTTGTTTTTATTCTTGACTATTATGATCACCATTTGTCATGCATTTATCGACTGCATGATCAGGCAAGGTGTGTACTAATTATGAAAAGGAAGGGGAATCTGATCGCACCAAACATCGCACCAAAACAAACTATATGTTTCACACATATTCTTTATACTACATGTATTTGATTTACCGTACCAATTATTGCTATCTAAATAATCATTTTTTTCTCACTTCGTCATTATCTCTGCAAAATGACTGGCGCCCGCTATGTTATATTCACATCTGCAGTTTTCAGATCGAGATGCTCGCACGGTAATTTAAAGAAAAAACTGATGTCTGCGTTTAGTAGAAACCAATGCGCCTTTTAAAAAAACTGTCTCTCTTCATATTTCCACCATCATCCAATATATTTACGTACTATGATGGACGAACAGAGCGGATGTATCCATTGTGATCATCGGAGGGATGCCATGCGTGTGCCCCAAATGTCCAGTAAAGGGGTACTTTTCACGGACCAAAGTCCGGCTCCTCGTACATAAAAATCCGGCCCGTATTGACTTTACACACCGGACTTAGGGGGGGGGGGGGGGGGGGTTCAAAAGGTGGTAACATGCATACCCTAAATAACACTGAGTTGGGGAGGGGGGGGGGGGCAAGCAAACAAACGAAAAATAGAGGCCATCACCCGATGATTTTTGTTCTTCTCTGTCTCCCGTTTCACTTGCCCCCGGTGCCCCCCTCCCCGATATCCTCACTATGCTGGCTTACGGAATAGGGACGGATCGAGTACAATGGGTAACGTGTTCTGTCTTTCTTATACCTGTAGGCGTTTAAACAAAATATTTTTCTTTCAAACGTGCTACAAAGTTATATGTTCACTCAGTTATGTTCATATATCAAAGTCGATATACCTAATCTAAACAATTTTTTTAACATCTTAGATGGATTCGTGATAAACAATCCATTCATCTATAGTGGTCCGATTATGCTCCTCGTCAATAAAATATTTGGTAAAAGTAATAAAAACTAAAGCTTTCCGGCCTACGGCAATCATGATCATGATGATTAAGTTATAAATCGGTACAAATAATCGTGTTCGCGTTTATTTTCGCAGATTTGAATAGGTAATGAACAAGGTTACTAAAGTTGCCTCATGTTGATTTTTCATAAGTCCTTGGGATCGTAATATTAAAGCCTAATGATTGCTATTTTCTCTCTGGAGAAGCGAGAAAGAGTGTGGGAGCGCATGGGGAATAGCTTGATATATACATACTACGACAGTTGACGAAAAATAGGCAAGTGAAGAAGAAATAATGAAACATCCATTAGAGATACTACAAAGTATATGAATTTTCGGCTTAATTTAAGGGTAAAATGAGTAAATTTGTCATTGATTGACAGCTGAAAATTCATATATTTTGTATCCCCATTGGTTGTTCCACAATTTCCCTCTTAAAGGTAATACAAAGTTTTGGTTTGGGGTCATGAATTTGGTTTAAAAGAACATATTGGAAGCATATGCGATCCTACAGTATTCAGTTATTTTCGTCGCGGTCGAAATCGAGTCTTAAGTTATGCAATTATAAATAATAATCAATTTACGTTGTATAGCTCCCTCTCAAGGTCAAGATATTAATTAAGCTATAAAACAATGTTTCTTGACTAATTTCGTCCGATTAGCTATTCCCGTTCGCCAATTATATACCACAACTACATATTCTGAGATTGTCATGGTCGCAGCTACCGGCATAGTACGGCCGTAGGAGCTATTTGAAATTCATCAAAATTTACCGGGAGCACCGGTAAATCTTTATATTCAATTTTTCTCGAAAGCAGAAGTTTTTTAGGGGTTAACATTTCTAGTGCTTTTAATACATCCACAGGGGCATCCAAATATATCAAAATTGTAAAGAATCACTATCCACCCATTTTTCAAAATTTCCCAAAACTTTGTAATACCTTTAACTTGTTAGATAGATAGATACATACATAGAGACAGACAGATGTAATGATTTATTGATAAAACCAAATATCATTGTGGCATAGCCTAATTTCGATGATTTTACAATGATCAAGTGCAAACAAAAAGGATCACAGTATTATATAATAAAAATAACATCTTATATTTTATTTGTTTACATCTCAATTTGTCTCAAGCTAGTTCGTGGTGGAGGAGGGGGGGGGGGGGGGAGTCGGTGTCGTCGCCGTCGTCGTCGTCGTCGGATGAGGAGGAGGGAGGGAAGCTGGTCGTAGCCCCCCCCCCCCAAGTGTAGAGGGATAACGCCAGGGTATCAACCCCTCCCCCTTCTCCTAATAACCCACCCTTCGCTCCTGGTAAGTGGTATTGAACGTTATTGGTATGCAGCGCAGTCCATTGCAGAGCATGTACAGGTAAATCCATTGCCGAACTTCGCGTCGAACTTCGCACCACATTCGCACACGGAGCTCCGGAGAGGAAGAGTTGGTACATAACAACGCAAAACGCGAGATGCGGTTGATGTATGTTGCTGCTTGTTCAGACGATCCTGCTATCAGACTTAAATTCGTGATTTGTACGATGGCGACACTCATGGATGGAAATATCTAAACATGCGCATCCATTGGTATCGACTTCTACCTCCAGTGAAGCATATTTCTCCAAAGCGAGCAAGACAGCCAATGCACTTCGCATTCTACTCTGCTCCTCTGTAAATTTGATTGCACACAGTCAAGGCATGAGCTACTCTCGGGAACAATAGGTATACGTACATAGGCGGGAATGATGCGGGCGAAAACCAGCAGACTGCAGACGATACTACTTGATTTCATTGCAACGAATTGCATCCATGCAAAGATCTACATGTCTATTGTTAGAGGCAATTAGACGTCAGCTTTAGCTTAGGGATGGACTTCGCTCGCTCAGATCTCCTCGATATGGGCGATGATGGTAAGTGCAGTGGAATTAAATCTAACCTGATTTATTCAATTTTTCCTTGTTGAAGGCCGATGTGAGCTGGTTGTCATAAAACTGTGTGGAGCATAGCATAGTGATTATCTTTGCTTTGGCTTTCTGTATGTTTATATAGAGATGACATAGAAGTTGATAGAATGGTCTTGTGCAGTACACACAGTCATCATCTAAATTAACTATCATCTGTATCAAAAACCCACTCGCCTACAGCTCAAAATTTGAACAAGCGCCCCAAATTTATTTTGATCAAACTAAGTGGGTCTAAATCTGTAATCCAATTCGACATGTTGGCCTTCTTGTATTAGTATGTTCACTAAGGTGGGAAATCAAGCTTCTTGTTACTAGGCAATTATATTCGTAGACAATTTGCAATGTTAGCTCAAACATAACAATGTTGAAATTGAATATGTACCCACATACATGGCCATGTATATTTTACCAAAGTTATGTTGTTACAGATGTCGTGACAGTTTTGGAGGAAAGAAGTTTTGAATTTGAATTAATTCCAAAGTTCCATGCACCGAACAAGGGGGATTTCAAATCCTTGTATCTCGAGGGGTGTAGCTATGCGCTGTCACTTAAAGAAATACCAGTAAAAGGGAGAATAAAAAAAAGGTATAGAGAAAGAGAGTGAGTGCGAGAGGGAGAAAGAGATAGAGAGGGAGGGGGATAGAGAGAGAGAGAGAGAGAGAGAGGGGGGGGGGGGGGGGGCTATAGAGGGAGAGGAGAAATTTAAGAGATGTAATTGGTAATCTGTACACAAAATCATCTTCCCCAAGCTAAATGAATACAAATCTGTTAAAAAACCAGGGCTATCAATCATTTACAACAAATGTATAACTGCAATAGACCTACCTGATAAAAACTAAAACCTGATGAAAGTTAATTTGCGAGCCTGCATAATGAATGAAGTCAGTTATACATGTACACACTCAAATTTGTGGTAAAACTTTAAGGTCACTTGTTGAATGCGGGCAATTATATGGAATGACAATTAGAATAATTGGTGTAGGACTTTACTCCACTTTTATGACATCACAGGTAGTGGATGGCCTAGATAAAAGCCTTATTAACCGTACAACCATATTTATATACCTCACTTAAGTAATCCAGCCCTCTGATTGGTCGAAATTGCATTCATAAACTTCAACTGTTCCTGTAAAATTCTCGGTAACCATGCATAAAACATTTCACTATTTTTAATAACCATGGTTATTAAAAAAATAGGTCAGCCTCCATGGTTACCCCATAGGTTTACATGTTAAAAAATGGTTTGAGCGATCGAGGATACCGTATGTGTGCGAAGGATTGGTCGGTAATTTCAATACAATTGAATCTCGATCGATCTTACCGACAATTTCATCTTGCATTGTTGACATGAAGACGAAAATAAACTTCCAAAAACAAAAAAACAACATCTGCCGATAGATCTTGATCTAAGTTCGTGCCAATATGCATTGCAAAAGTAAAAGAAGGGTCCGTTTAATGGAGCTTTTGCGAAGCATTCATCACGCCGAAGCCGGTTTCAATCCATTTTAATGTATATATAGTACAAAACTGCCAAGCACGTGAACAGCGCGCGATGGACGAGTGGTGTAAGGCATTGGTGTAAGATTCATCACTCATTGTACGTAAGAGTTCGACTCTCACCTTCGACAAAAAAAAAAAAGTATTTTTTATTTTTTATTTTTTAGTCTATTTTTTTTGGCATATAAAAGTATTAATGACTGCTTTAATATTCGAGAAATAGTTGTTTTTATACGCTCTCGGGAAGGTTACAATTGGGCTATTCCCCTCGGCACGCCTCGGGTAATAGCACAATTCTAACCTTCCCTTGAGCGTATAATAACAACTATTTCTCTCAAAGCAGTCATTAATACTATAATATCGCCTCAGGAAAGATGTAGTGAAATGTAATTTCTTTATTCAGATTTTGCTATTTTCTTGGCCTTCCCCCCCCCCCCCCCAAGCATACAATAGAAAATGGATTTCCACAAAATGCAAAGTAATAAATAATAGTGGTTTCTTATATTGGCTTACCATTAACCAATCAAAGCGCTTACAGTATGAAATTCTTATTCTGCACATTATAGTGCACATTATAGTGCACATTCTCCACTCCCAGGGGAGCATTCCAGCTAGTCGCCTGTTTAAGGGTGTGCACATGCTAATCCAACCACAGCAACGTTTGCATCCTACAAAGTGCAAGTATCCAGCTAAAGGGATAGTTAGGTTTTGGTATAGAGGGCGCTATGCAAAACAATTTTTTTGTGAGATAATGAAAAACTGAATGTCCAATTGGAAAGAGCATAGAATTTAAATGACAAAATCATCTTTGTTTGATCAAAATCGGTTCAGAGATGGCTGGAAAATCCATGAATATTACCATAATTTCTAATGTTTGTGGGTCCCAAAAATATTCATTAATTTTTAACCAGCCTTGAAAAAAATGATAAAGCGCCTTATACGTTTTACGTTAATGTTGGTTAGAAATTTAGAATACGTATGAATCATCGTGCCAGGCCATGAAACACTATTTTCTCTTTGTGAAAGTTTTAACATTCTTTATTAAAGCTATGGGATGTATTATGTGTTGCTATGTTGGGCAAGCTTTCATGTAGTCATACTTGAATTAGGTATTATTGAAAAGCCTGCTTATGTCGCTTAACAATGACACCCCATTTGTAATGGTTAAATGTAATCATTACATTTTCCGCTCATTTAATAATAATAATAATAATAAATAATAAAACTGTTACTTATAAAGCGCTTACCACCAAAGTCTCTAAGCGCTATAACAAACAAAATAGACTGATAAACAATTACATATTAAACGAAACAAAAAAGTGAAAATAAACCTTCAAATTACAATACATATACTTTAAAGTGAACAGAGTTAATTAATCAGCAAAAGCAATTTTGAATAAATGTGTCTTAAGACTAGTTTTGAATAGGTTAACAGTTTTTGACATTTAAAGGTAGTCTGTTACAAAGTTCAGCAGAAGCTTTGCAAAAAGAGCGATTACCATAAGAAAGAGTTGACACAGAAGTAGACATGAGGTTTAATTGTGAAGATGACCGTAAATTGCGTGAGGGTTTGTATTCCTGGATTAGTTCTTGCAGATAAATTGGTGCCAATTCATGAATGCATTTATAAGTTAAAACTAAGATTTTGTACATAATGCGGTACGTCACCGGCAACCAATGCAATTTGCAAAGTACTGGAGTGATGTGTTCACAAGAAGGTGTGCGTGTTACAAGCCTGGCAGCAGAGTTTTGGATTGTCTGGAGCTTTGCAATGTGCGAGTCCGGAAGGCCATAAAGAAGGCTATTGCATTGATCAAGACGGCATGTAATAAATGCGTGTATAAGCTTTTCGGTAGATTTTTATCAAGAAAATTTCTAATACGACCTATCTTGTACGAGGCATATGAAGCTGAGCAACAAATATTATTTATATAATCATCCATCCTCATTTTCAAAGATGACACCAAGGTTACATACACTTATAACAGGTTGTATCGGAACATTAGCAATTTCTACAGATGGTAAATGGGAGGAGTTTCTGAATCGAGATGTTACATGTATAACCTCAGTTTTATCCTCATTTAACTTAAAATCATTCGCAGTGGACCAAGCTTTGATATCATTTATACATCTTTCAAGTTTGGTAATAACAGAATGGTTGGAATCACGTTTCAAAACAACTTGAACTTGGGTGTCATCTGCATATATCATTTGGCCTAAACCATGCGCTTCAATAATATCTTCAAGTGGTGGGCAATTCCACGGTAACGGAAGGACACTCAGACAAGATTTTTGAACTTCAGGTTCATACTAAAAGAACTGTTTTATTAGTATAAGATGTGAAATAGTACAGATATAATACCTATATAAGTGCCTTTAATTCTCCCCCAAAAAATTGTCATTATAGTTAAGTAGTTTAAGAATGTGCATATTAATTATCTCGGTAACGGAAGGACATACAAATGGACATGGTTTTTCCAGTTAATTAGTGTTTATCCAAACTTTGTGAAGTTGATGAAGCTTTCCACTTGACTGAAACACATTTTGTTCCCCATAGTTTAATACATACTAATAAAACATTTCTTTTAGTATGAACCTGAAGTTCAAAAATCTTGTCCGAGTGTCCTTCCGTTACCGTGGAATTGCCCTTGTGCAGTGTACAAAGTAAATGATAAAGGGCCAATGACGGATCCCTGAGGAACACCTTCAAGTGGTACATGAGGTTTGGATAAAGAGTCATTGATGACAATAGATTGAGGACGATTCATAAAATAAAAATGTTTTTAAACCAATTCAAGGCAGTACCTGATACACCATATCTCTTATGTAAGTGATCAAGAAAAACATTATGACTGATAGTATCGAAAGCTGCAGAATAGTCTAAAAGTATCAAAACAGCTTCATCACCTTGGTCCACAGCTAACAACAAATCATTGTACTGCAGGCCTACATGTATACATGTTGTAAATGCAAGTGCAAATGGCATTTTTGCTCATTTGCTCACAAGTATAAACAGAAATCGATTGTTTTACTCAATGATATATATGCTTGACTTTCAAAATACCTTTTGAATAGACTATAGAATGTAAATGCATGTTGTGGCTACTTCAAATTAGCATGAAGCTTTTTTCATACGTCAAGAATCGAGACTTTTATTAACCGCTATGTGATAATGAATTCAGAGTAGAAAGCATAATGGTCCTATTGTCAGTGGACCTAATTAAGAGTCTATTTTAAGCCATTTTAAAGCCATTATTGTACTGGAGGGGTTACATAACCGGAAAAATAATTTGATTGGGAATGAATGGCTGTGCTTCCTCTTTCTCTCAAATGAACTTCTAGCACTCTTCTTGTTTTTTCCTCTTTTTTCAGTAGTATACCATGAATTACATCAATTCCTCATAGAAATGCTGAAAATTTAAGATATAAAATACAACTTCACTGTTTGG